TGGGGTTCTACCCGTGGAACAGCACAGCCAAAGAGAGAGAGGACATCCTTCGGGTGAAAACGTGAGCTAAACACATTTTGTTTTAACGCAAACCACAAAGGTGTCAAAAATGACACAGTGTACTTGTTCCCTCAACCCAGTTAATCATTTACAGCTGTTGTGGTTTCCTGTGTCAGTATTCAGGTACTTTTACTCTACTCGCACTACATTTTTTGGAAGGTAATGGTACTTTTACTTTTTTCAGTACTCTTTCCACCACTGGACCTAAGCTTAGCACAGTATATGTACTGCTGTCAAAAATGTTGGGGTCAGTGAGATTTTTTTATTAATTTTTTTATACAACAAGTCTCTTATTCTCACAGAGGCTGCATTTATTTGAACAAAAATGCAGTAAAAACAGTATTATTATGTAATGTTATGACATTTATAATACATGTTTTCTGTGGTAATATATTTTAAAATGTAATTTATTCCTGTGATGGCAAAGCTGAATTTTCAGCATCATTACTCCAGTCTTAAGCGTCACATGACCCTTCAGAAATCATTCTAATATGCTGATTTGCTGCTCAAGAAGCATTTTTATTATTATCAATGTTGAAAACAGTTGTGCTACGTAATATTTTGTGTAAACAGTGAAACCTTTTTAGGATAAAAAAAAAAAAAAAACAGAATTCATTTGAAATGATTTTTTGTAACATTCTGTATGCCTTTACTGTCACTTTTGATTAATTAATGCATCTTTGCTGAATAAAAGCTTACCGACCTCAAACGGATGAATGATAACAGCAACTGACCGTTTGCAAAGAGTTTGATTGACAGGCGATCTGACCAATCATAACGCTGAATCCACCTATTTTATCGACAAACAAACCAGACAGGAGAGTAGATTAACTTCGGTGGACTTAAACTTTAAAAATGCTGTGTATTGACATCTTTCCGCTGTTGAAATAAAATACCTTCTGATGTTCATTCATGTTTATTTTATGTTTTAAATATGTAAATATGAAAAGATAATCAGTTCATGTGCCTGTACAGCGATCTGTCACGACACATTAAAGAGCCACAAAACTGTATTTATTGTTTGAATTTCTCAAAAAATGTAAAAATTTAAAAGCTAAGACTTTGTTTCATAGCAAAAGTAACCTGCTCTGTCTTGTCTGTCGGCTTGCTGTCAGTTTCCTCTTTGCTCAGCGATGTATTTTTTACTGTGTGAGAACATGTGTAGTGTGAGAGCGGCATTGTTTGTCAGAAATAGCAACAGTAACTAAGGAGGGGGTTTTTGCGAAGGGTCAATTATATTTACATTTCGAAGTTCTAATCTACCATACGACTACTTAATTCATTTGCAGCTGTTGTGGTTTCCTGTGTCATTTTTCTCTTTAGACCTAAGCTTAGCACAGTATATGTACTGCTGTCAAAAAGTTTGGGGTCAGTAAGATTTTTTTAAATTTTTTTTTTTTTGGTTGAACTCTCTCATGCTCACCGAGGCTACATTTATTTGAACAAAAATGCAGTAAAAACAGTAATATTGTGAAATATTAGGACCATTTAAAATAACTGTTTTCTATTGTAATATAATTTTAATAATGTAATTTATATATAATATCATTTTAAAATGTAATTTATTCCTGTGATGGCAAAGCTGAATTTTCAGCATCATTACTCCAGTCTTAAGCGTCACATGACCCTTCAGAAATCATTCTAATATGCTGATTTGCTGCTCAAGAAACATTTGTAGTATTGTCAATGTTGAAAACAGTTGTACTACGTAATATTTTTGTGGAAACAGTGAAACCTTTTAAGGATAAAAATAACAGAATTCATTTGAAATTATTTTTTGGTAACATTCTATATGTCACTTTTGGTTAATTTAATGCATCTTTGATGAATAAAAGCTTACTGACCTCAAATTTTGAATGATAACAGCAATTATACTTACATTTTCTAAGTTCTAATCTACCATATATACGACTACTTAATTCATATACATAAACCCGAATGATAAGGCCAATAATGTGTCTACCCTGCCTCTTTCCTTTCTAAAACCCCTGATCGTCAGCTTGAAATACATTTGTTATTTTTCTCTTCAGGGATGAGTATTTCAGGATGAAGGTTCAGTGGAAGTCAGTTAGTGAAGAGCAGGAGATGAGGAACTCTCTCTTCCGAGGAAACCGTAGCCTCATAGGTACGTTCAGCTGTGTCATTGATCCTACAGCAAGTGTAGCCGGTCACTTTCTACATCTGATTTGCTCCTGCTCTTTGATTGGACAGAACGGGATGTGAATCGAACAGACAGACACAATTCCTTCTTTTCTGGGAATGAGAACCCAGGACTTGCGCTGCTCCAAGACGTACTGATGACGTACTGCATGTATAACTTCGATCTGGGTATGTGCATTTCCGTTATGGCATTTTAATTCCAGCTACCGACCACTAGAGAATGCTGTTATGTCTCTTATCTCTCTCTCTCTCTCTCTCTCTCTCTCTCTCTCTCTCTCACTTTGCTCTTTAGGTTATGTACAGGGGATGAGTGATCTTCTGTCTCCTCTCCTCTTTGTTACCCAGAATGAGGTGGAGTCCTTCTGGTGTTTGACAGGCTTTATGGATTTAGTGGTCAGTAAACACACTTGTTTTCTGATTGTGTTGTTCAATCGATGTGTTAGCTCTGGATATAAAGCCTTTATCTTTCTTTAGCACCAAAACTTTGAAGAGTCTCAAGAGGCCATGAAACAGCAGCTGCTTCAGCTCAGCCTCCTACTGAGAGCACTTGATCCAGAGCTGTGTGACTACCTGGGTAAACACAAGCACACATTCTCTATAAACCTCTACCTTCTATATGTGTTTTTTCTCTATTGGCTAATGCACAGTTGCACCGCTGCTTAAAAAAAAAGTTGTTTGTTTGCTTGTTTTTATCTCTCTTAGACTCTCAGGACAGTGGTTCACTTTGTTTCTGTTTCCGTTGGTTGCTGATTTGGTTTAAGAGAGAATTCTCTTTTGAAGACATCTTGAGTCTTTGGGAGGTAAGAGGGAGGTTATTTGTATTATTTTCTATGACTTTCATCATCATCATTAATAATATATCAAATATAATATGTTTATAATTCATTTGAATTCATATATTTTAGCAAAATATGCTGACTCAAATATGTTAAGCACATACAGCATGTGAACTTACAGTAGTTTTCTGTTATATCCTGTAGTTTAAATAACTTTAAAAGAATATGCATTTTCATACACAAAAGCAGCACAACAGTTTTGATTTTTAATATTGATTTGTTATATTCATTTATTAAATATTCAAAACTCTTCTCATCAGTGTTATTTTAGTATTATATATATATATATATATATATATATATATATATATATAAAGCTCTGGATATAAAGTAGCTTTATTTTAATTTTATTTTATATGTAAGCAATTTTGTGCTCGTCATTTTTATTAGTTTTAGATTTTTTTATATTTCTGTTTAGATTTAATTTATTTCTATTTCAGTTTTAGTTTCTGTAGTATTAGATTATTTATTTTCGTTTCCGTTTTTTTTTTTTATATATATATTTAGATTACATACATTTTTTTTAATCACCGTTTTAGTCTCAGTAGTTTTAGTACTTCAACTAATTTTATTTCAGTTAGATGCCATTGGCAAATTTTCTAATTAAGTTTAAGTTTTTCATCTACTATATATGTTATTTTATTTCAACTTTATTTCAATTAAAGGAAATGATTTTAGTAGTTTTATTGAACAGTATCAACACCAATGTTTTGCAGGTTCTGTGGACCCGTCTGCCTTGTGAAAACTTCCACTTACTTATGGCCTGCTCCATTCTTGAATCACAAAAAGGGGAGCTGATTGGCTCAAATCATGATTTTAACTCTATACTGAAGGTAAGCATAGAATTGTTTAAGCCCGTGAAAATATAAAGTAGAACCAGGAAAATGACATGCACAGTAAGTCAGTTGACTCTAAACGTGTGTATGTGTGTATGTTTCCAGCACATTAATGAGCTGACCATGAAGCTGGATCTGCAGTCAATACTCTGTGGAGCTGAGGCTATTTATTTGCAGCTGACAAACTGCAAGGTGAGATGGGACAGATATGACTGCTGATAGGCTATGAAAAATAACCGTGTTCATAATGCTTTCTGACTGCTCTGTTCTCAGGAGCTGTCTGTGAAAGTACAGGAAGTTCTTGGGCTGCGTGTCCCATCCAGCTTTTCAGAAGAGAGTCCAAACTCAGAGCCCACAGAGACAGACACCCTTCTCGCTCAGTCCGAGGCCAGAGGAGCTTCATCCTGCCAGCCATTTAATGGGCGGACACCACAGCGGACGCCTCCTACATGCCCCTAATTCCAGAAGGTGATTGGCAAAAGGGGGACAGATGATTTTAATTGAACCATAATGATGAATATTCATAAAAAATGATTAACGTGTTTATAAAATATGGTGAATGTAATTCAGAGATTGAAATCTAGATCTGCAGCGACCTAATAAAAATAAGATCGTCTGATTATTTTCCACATGCTGTTTAAACTGATGTGTGAATGACTGTGGGCATTGCAGACAGAGTCACTGAAGAGAGGGAACACTTACAGTTTATAGTGTGAGCATTATAGTCGTAGCTCATATTTTATCACTTAATATTTTATGCATTTATGAGCTTTAGGTATCTTAATCGTTTGATCCACTATACTAGCAGTACCCTAAACCATGTTATTAATTATGTATTGTATGATCATGTATATTAGTTGTTTTCTCTCCCCATCTTTACTGTTACACTCAGTGACAGCTAGAAGATAATGCTGGGCACTACCGTTTTGCATGCAATGTAGCAAGAGCTACTTCATATTAATTCTTATGTTAGTTTTTAAAATGGCTTTCATATGGCTAAAGAATAAAACATTGAAATTGAGTCCCTGACATTGAGGTATTGTTCTTTGCCAAATGTCCACTTTATTCTCATTCCTTGCCCACTTAAGGGGTTTTTAACCTTGACAGCCTTGACCCCCAGTACAAAAAGCTTTCTCAGTAACACTTATAAACACTTAGCTTTATATGTGATAAACATGTATTATTTATCTGCATTGCATGCATGTGCATATTCAGATAATAAAAGAAAATGTAATGGAAATGTAAACAAATTAATAAAACTAAATGAGGCCATAGATAAACATTATTTTGTTTAATTTTTATTATTATTAATATCACAATAAACTGATAAGAAGCTTTCTCTGTAACACTTCAAAATAACTTGCAAATATTAGAATTACATTAGGTAAGTATTCATTCAGATTGTAGTTTTTATTGTAATAAACGAAAAAATAATGAAAAAAACAAATTAATGAACACGCTAGATAAATATTTTCACTTTTATTAAGATCTTTATTATTATTGTTATTGTTATTATTATCTTAATGCCCTAATATATAGTGATAAAGTTTTCTCTGTAACACTTTATTATAACTTTGATTTAAAACATTAGCTTTCTGTTATATGTAAATGTTCATTCAGATGATAAACAATGTCTTGGAAATGAAAAATAATAATGTAAAAGTCAATGATCTAGATAAAAAAATTTTTCATTTATTACAATGTTTTATTGTTTTTACCCTCTTTTCTCTTCAGATGATAAGGTAAGTCCGATAAAACCACTTCATCAATTGGAGGATTACAACAGATTAGCCTGTTAAAGAACACAAATCTTAAAAGAAGAATGAGCTGAGAGATGAGAACTTATTAGATCACTTTTATTTTGAATGTATTAGTTTATTTTTTATTTCGAAACCAAAAATCCATGCTTTAGTAAAATGACAAATGAATGAAGCAGAAAATCTGTTATTTCTACATTTGACATATGTTTTGTTGAACCGTTTAATGTATGTCTGGCACAGAACGGCATGGCTCACCACCAGTGCCGTCGTCACACAAACAAACACATTCACACACTCCACCAGCAGGTGTCTGACTGGGGTTAAATGATCAGGGTAAATGGGGTCACTGTTGCCCACTGTCCTGCCAAATGAGGGGTGGAGAACCACGCCTCCTCCTCACCGTCCTGCTCACTGCTCTTTCTGCTGTTCGTCCTCCTCTTTTCTCTGTCTGTCTCTCCCTCGCCCTCCCTTCATTTTCCCACTGTGTTTGTTTGAATACAGCTGCAACGTATGAATTTAGCATGGCACTTAAACAGCCCTGCGATCTGCCACCCTTCTTTGTCTCACACACAAACACACTCTTTTACCCCTGAGACTCATCTTGTCCCTTTTACGGCCGGCATGACCTCGCTTTACTGGAGAACAGAAAATAAGAAGAGTGTCTCATTCAAACTCAATCTGCTCTGAGTTAAGCTCTAGTTAGTTTTCAAGGGCTGGAGCAGTTCAAGCTGCTCTACTGTGTCTGAGTGAAGGCTCTATTTTGTGCATTTGAGAGCTTCATCAGGTTTTAGAGGGTTATTGTTGTGTGATGAGAGTTATATCGGACTTGTGACATTTTCACCTTGTTCTGTCCTCTTTACTTTTTCTTTTGCTATTACTTTTATAAACATTGCAGTTTTCACCTGGTGGTTTATAAATCAATGAAAATAAGTCATATTTAGAAATCTGAATATCATACCCTAGTGAAAAATCAATATACTAAAATGTATTTGAAATACATTTATTTCATGCTAAGTATACTACAAATACATTTACATATTTATGTGCTTAAAAAATACCCTGCAATTGTACTTTTGGTATAATAAACTGGTATATCTAAAGTCTGCTAAAACTAATTTTGTGCTTAATGCACTTTAATTGTGTTGAAGTAGTGCTGAAGTCCAACTAAAGATTTACTAAAGTATATTTGATTGTGCTAAAGTTGAACTATTGCAAGGATACTTCAGGTACACTTTAAAGATCCTGCATTTAACGACTGATATTATTCAAAGATCATACAATCCTTACCAGTAGTGACATTAAAACACATTTTAGGCTTAATATTAAGAAATGTGGATTGTGCACAAGTAGTACTCCAAATAAAGTTGAATTTTCAATTTTTATATCAGTAAATCTCAAGCGATATTTCAGGAAATATGTCAATAGATTTTAATTACACTTAGTATGAAATAAATTTATTTTAAATATGTTACTTTTGTTTTATACTAGTGTAGAGACTTAGGGTTGGGCTTATTTGACTTGGGCCAGTTAGCGACCACCTAGCAACCAGTCAGAACACCCTGGCAACCATCTATAACTTCCTATAGCACTGTGTCAGTCAGAGATGTGTCTTCTCTCTAGATCTAAACGATGTCTTGGACTGTTTGCTAATTTGCCAAGACATTAAACTTTTTGAGATGCATTTTAATATGAACTCAAACAAAAAAAAATATGCTATTCACATTCAACAGTTTTTTTAAATTCACTCTACGACAACAATTGCCTTGTTTCTGTATTTATTTCTATTTATTCAAATGTCAAAGATTTTAATATGAATGCAAAAATTCCAAAACTAAATTATCTGAATTATATTCTGTATAATTTGTAACTCTATTCTGCATAACTATTCTATCCACAATAATTTCTTATATTTCTTTCTCCATATTCTATAATTTTATTTAGGGGAAACATCAAAAACTTAAGTTAATATTTTCTAACAAAATTGTTTTCCCCTAACTAACTAATTATATATATACTGTATATACAGTCTTCAGAGTCACATGATTCTTTAGAAATCATTCTAATGTATTATATATGCATTAGTTGATTTTTAGAATTGTCTTAGTGCTAAAGAAGAAAATGGAATTTTACACAAATGTCCGGTGAATGAATTATTACTAAATTACTAAATTATAAATAACAAAAGAAAAAACAACGGTTACTGTGAAGAAAGGTAGAATCAACTTTGTGTGACTAATTTTTTTTTGCAAAAGCTCAACTTCTGAAATGTTCAGCCACCTGTAGACACACTGACAAATCCAGTCCTGAGGTCTCCACCTAAACGTGTCCCACTGTGACTGTGAGGAGTCGAGTGTGAGCGTGTGAAGTGTGTGTGAAGTGAGTGGGAGCAGAAGGCCAGGCACTGGTGTCTGGCAGTCATTTGTAAAGAGAGACAATACGGCTCATTGACCTGCCGGCTCCACTGTCTGTTGCACATACCTCGCCCAGCCCTCCCATTTGGACCCACCGCTCTTTAAACAGGACACCAGATTGCCACAGGCCCAGGGAGGGGCGTAACGAGTGTGTGCTGCTGTGCGAGATGGACAGGCATAATGGGAAGTTGCTTTGACAATGAGATTCCACACAAAACGGGGGTGACGGGGTGATTAGGTGGCACGTGAGTAAGTGTGACTTCAGTGCGCCGAAAACAAAAGTCACATAAATTCCAGCTCTACCCATCAGTCTCAGTCTCAGTCTCCGTCTCACACTCCTGTATCAGATTTCAAAAAGCTTTTCCATCTGCTCTGAGCCCGATGTCATTTCAGACCTGGAAAATCAGGTGTTCTGGGTTATCAGTTTCACTCTTACTGCCGTTTTTGTAGTAACAGCTTTTTGTGGCTTCATTATGTATTCTAGACAAGACAGAAACGTTGTCTTGTTTAGAATATGCAATGAAGCCTCAAAAAGCTGCTATTACAAAACCTGCAGTAATAAATACCAATAAATACCTAAATCCACTGCTAAAAACTGAACACATTCAATAAAATAAAGCATTTAACTGAAAACTCTTTTACATTTTTGAACATTAATTGACATCTGAGAAATGTGAATATGTGCATGTGTTGTTAAATTATTAAAATATTAAATGAAAATCTCAGAGGGTAGTTCAAGTAAATATTTAAGGTCACAAAACATGCCTGAGGAAATGTTTTGGAATCCCTGTCTTAAAAGGTCAGGTGCTTAGAAAATGTTGATCCTATTGTATTAATATTATATGAGTTCTGTTTTCTATTCCCGTACTGTAATTTGCAAATTTGAACCCTGTTACCAATGTATAATATAATATAATATAACAATTAAATTAAATAGACGCTGTTTAAACTATTTTAAAAGATACATTAAAAAGTAATGATACATTTCTGTTTTACATAATTATAAATATTTCTTTGATTATGTTTCCTTACAACACTAGTAACATGATTAAATGGTTCAGCTTTGAGTTAATCATTAAAAACAAACTGAACACTAAATACCAATTCAATAATTAAGTCTTATGTGAGACCAAAATCACAATTTCCAAGAGATACAAACATTTGATGTTTTTAAACTCGCTACTTTTTATGCTAGGTAAAAGGGATAGTTCACCCAAAAATGAAGATTGTCTCATTGATTACTTACCCTCATGTCTTTCAAACCCATAAGACCTTCGTTCATCTTCAGAACACAAATTAAGATATTTTTGATGAAATCTGAGAGCTTTCTAACCCTCCGTAGACAGTAAAGTAACTGAAATGTTCCCAGACCCAGAAAGGTAGTAAGGAATTCGTTAAAATAGTCCATGTGACATCAGTGGTTCAACCATAATTTTACGAAGCTACGAGAATACTTTTTGTGGCGTTATTTTGTGTCATTAGTTTTTTCTTTGCACACAAAAAGTATTCCCGTAGCTTCATAAAATTACGGTTGAACCACTGATGTCACATGGACTATTTTAACGAATTCCTTACTAACTTTCTGGGTCTGGGAACATTTCAGTTACTTTACTGTCTATGCAAGGTCAGAAAGCGCTCAGATTTCATCACAAAATCTTAATTTGTGTTCTGAAGATGAACTAAGCTCTTTTGGATTTGGAACGACATGAGGGTGAGTAATTAATGACAATTTTCATTTTTGGGTGAACTATCCCTTCAATTTTATGTTATGTAATAGTTTGCCTAACATTTCTTAGCCAAAAATGGCATTTACACCTCTAATGCTGAAGTTAGAAGACCATATTTGTGGA